TTCTCCCTCTCCCTCCCCCTTCCCCTTCCCCTTCCCCTCCCCCTCCCCCTCCCCCTCCCCCTCCCCGCCCCCTCTCCTCGTAGGTCCCTCCGTGCCATGAGCAGTGCCGAGCTATCCGCCGCCAGCAGCTTCCTGTCCATCCTGAGCCACCACCTGATCGGCCTGTGTGGGGACCTGAGACCGCACGTCATCACTAATGTGGGGCTATCCAAGAGGACAGGTGTGCAATGTGTGTGTAATGTGTGTTGGCGTATGGGGTACTGGGTACTGGGTATTTCCTGCTAGCGGCGGCGGCGGGGAACGGCGCTGAGGGCATGGGGCGGGTAACATTGAAGGCCCTGGGGTCCCCGTCTGGGTTTGGGGGGGGAGAGGGGGGAGCGGGAGGTCGTTTGTCTGCACCCTGGGTGGGCGGCCGCTAGTGAGGCGAGCAACGCTGTGGGCCTGGATATGGTGTGTGGCGGCTGTGTGGGGCGGGATTGGGGGTGGGTGGGGTAGCGGAAAAGACAAACGGAACTGGATGTATGCCTAATTAGGCACCTGGGCTGCGGTCGGTCACACATGCTGTTGTTGCGTGTGGTGGTCGCCTGTGGTTGGGTGCATGGGCGTCCTGATAGAGCAACAAGGATATGATATGGTGAAGGCTGCTGTCGGTGGTCCCTTGGTGGCTGACACCGGGGACCAGGTTGGGGCCGTGCCAGCCTGCTGCTGCATGATTTTCTGATTCGCCGCTGATTGCCTTTCTCCTCATTCTTCCCCCGTCCACCCGTGTCGTACTCTTTCCCCCCACCCCACCCCACCCCACCCCGCCCCTCTTTCAGGTGTTTTGATGAAGGAGAGTCTGCTGGAGGTGATCCCCCCCCGTGACAAGCCCTTCGTACGGCAGTTTGTGGAAACCCAGATGTTCAGTGTTTGGAGTGATGCGCTCATATCCGCCAACTTCGAGGGCTCCTTCGCCGCCGCGTAAGGCGAAGGGGAGATCTCCCGCCCCACTACCCTTCAAACCACCCCTCTCCCCCAAACACACTATCAGTACCACCACCACCATCACCACCACCGCCACTCCTACCAGCACCAATACCGGCCAGGCTGGGTGGTCGAGTGCATATAGCCTGATGATACTGCTGAAGTTGGTGGTCTCGGCGGTGGTCTCGGCGGTGGTGGTGGTGGCGGAGGGCGCTTAATAACCTTAACAGATCTCGAAACGTTAAATTGAAATTATTGAAAACGGACTTTGCATTTTTGAGTTGAGAGCCCCTTTGTGCGGCTTAAAAACCCTCTTTTAGAGAATCATTGGCCGCTTTGGCCCCGGCTACCACCGCCCGGCGCAGAACCACCCCGACATCGTACGACCTTAAACCTGACCTGTTGTACGGCTGACTGAAATTTGTATGTTGTCATGTTGTTGACTATATGACCTTGGAGGGTCAAATAATGGCCCATGATGGGCTCTCATTTACCCGACCGCGTATCTCTCGAGCTGTGCAGGGGGCTGGATAGGAACGTGCGTGGGCGTGTTTTTTGTGTGTCGTACACGGATACATGATGACGATGCGATTGTTTTAGGTTCGGTGCCGCGGATCGGTGGGATTTGTGCCTGTGTACGGCATTGTGTGTATGTATGTGTGTATGTATGTGTGTATGTGTGCGTGCGCATGGTTGTGTACAGGGAGGACTCCCCACCACCAGGTTTGGTTTGGATTGCACCGGATCCTCGAAACCAAACACGGGGTTGTGCATGCGTATGTATGTATGTATGTATGTATGCGTGTGTATTTGTGTGTATTTGTGTGTATGTGTGTGTATTTGTGTGTATTTGTGAGGGTTGTAGGAGTTAAGGTGTGAAGGGTCGTGGACTCGTGGTTGGGGGAGGAGAAACGGAACGCGACAAAACACGGGGATGGAGAACCCGGGGTACCCCGGGGGGGAGGGGGAGGGGGAGGGGGGTACCTCTCACCTGGCTACCCGCGCGCCAACGCAGGCTGCTGTCCTTTTACTGCAACTTTCCTAGAGACGCACTCCAGGTGGTAAACCACATATTTCTACAAAACTGTACCGGGCGGGCGGGCGGGCGGGTGGCCGAGCATGTGGCACCCGGCCCCAGGTACTGCGGTTAGTGCTCTGCTGTCACCGCAAGCTGCTCGTCCTTTAGGCAGCAGGCAGCCAGACAGCATGTGTACCGCACCCTGCCCGTTCAAAGCTTTCGAAAGTTCCATAAATCTTTGAGGCACCGTCTATAACGGATATCCGTGGATAGCGTACATCACAAGGATGCTGATCGTGCGTTTAGCATGAACTGATCGAATCTTTGATCAGGAGTTTAAAGGAAAAAAACTTTTTTCCTGTAGGCATGTATATAAAATCGCGGAATAAACAGTATAACCCTGAAATACATTTTCAAAATTGTTAGTTTTTTAATTTCAGTAGACCTCAATCCACCCAGACCTATTTGTATCGCGGCACTCTGTGGGAGGGCCGTTTGGTGGCTGGATTAGTGCTTTTCCCAGCCATGGCTGCTGCTCATCCTCTACTAGGCATCAGGCAGCCAGACGCATGGCCAGTCTCACTGCAGATGAGTCTGACGAGTGCGGCGAGGGGATGGGGCCGGGGGGGGGAAGACAGAAGGCAGGGCGTGAGGTGCTCGCGCTAGTGGGATACTCGCGCGACCGAGTGGCATGGTTTGGGGTGTGCAGCGGCGTTAGGATTACGACCGGTCCCGTGCTGTTCGCGTTTCTTATTCTATTGCCGTTGTGGTGTGATGTTATAATGAACTAACTAGCAGCGGCTGCTCATCTCCCCCTGGTGGGGGGTTGGGGGGTTGGGGATGATGTCAGCGCCACCGTCCCGATGCATGCACCCCTTTCTGTTGATGTGTTCTGTGCAGTGCAAGTGTGTCACTAGTCTCTACGGAGGACGGTCATGTACTGTTTTGTACTGCGCTGTCGGTGAGGTGGCCCTTCTCGTAGCTCCTCGCCATTCCTGCCTTTACCGTGTTCGGGTCCGCAGTCTGAACCAATATACGGTCGCTTTACACGGCGAAAAACGTATATACGGCGAAAAACGTAACGTTACGACTTATAGCTCAATCAATAGGATTCAACAATACACCACAAGGGAGGGGGGCCCATCAGCCCGGACTTGAGCTGAGTTTGCCCGAAAGCCCCGGGCAGTCGCACACCAGCAGTGTGGCCCCTTACCAAGGGCGTGCAAGGTTACAACAGCATTGCATCATCACACCCTCACCCACACCATCACACTCCCTTTTGACGTACAAGGATGAGGTGACACGCAAGCACTCAGCTCCCATCATTCAGCTGATTCCTTGCCTGTGCATGTGTGTGGATGTCTGTATGTATGTTGGTGCTGTTAGTGTGGGGTAGTGGCGATGTGCAACATTGGGTCCTTACGGGAGACGATGTATCGGCAGAGCACCCCCGTCCGCGCGACCCTGCGGCCCTGCCCCGGGCTGCAGTAGCTGGCTCTGAGAAGGCCTCGACGAAGCACCATTGCTCGTATTTGTAGGTGATATGTGTGCCGTACTGTCTGCAGCTACTACAGGGGCCCTTTCGATCCTCGATGTGCAGGGGTAGGGCTGTGTCGTACAGGGTACGTTGACCTGGCTGACGTATGCCGTCCCTCCCTCGACCCGCCTGGCAAAACGCCAAAATGCTTCCAACCCATACCAACAGCAGCACAGCACACAAAGCTCATATGGTTAAAAAGTATTCGCGCCGCTACATGTGCCAGGCAGCGGTGTGAGTTTGTGCAACATCAACCACAGCCGCACTTCTATACCCTCATGGAGTTTTACTTTATGCCGTACAAAAATATCTACTAAATGGCAGCCACGCTTCTCCCTCCAATCCTTCCTCCTGCCATTCTGCTATTAGCAAGAGTTTGTGATGCCGTCCAAGCGATGCTGCCACCTCTTAGAACGGAACTCAACGAGCTGGCATGCCAGTCTTGCTGCTCTGCCTTCTCGTGGCGGGCATCTTTTCCCGTCCCTTTCCATTCGCCTCCTCACTTTGCCAATCCTTCCGTCTGTTCATCCGCATACTCTTCTCAACCCGTCATCGTTCCCCTCCGTCTCCCTCTCCTCTCCCCCTGCCTCTCCTCACCTGAACGGAACCCAACTCACTGGCGACCCCAGCTGCGTGACAAGACCATCATGCCACTCATCGTCTATTCCGGGCAAGACACGGTTACGTCCGGGGCATATCACGGGATCTGACATCCACCGATCGTTACTTTTCTGTCGCGATACAACAGGCAACAGGCAGCATCTGGTTCCATGAAGAAGCAACCCCAGGCTGACCGAGACCCCAATGGGTAGGGGGGGATTTCTTCACGCGGATGGCGGGGGCCATCACGCTGGAACCTGTCATAAGGCGGCGCCCCGTGACCCATGGGTCATCCCATAACAACAACAGCATATGATCCGGAAGGTGGAAGATCCACAGCCTTCCGGCAGCCCGGTTGACCCTTCTGCAGTTGTGGCCTCCTAGTAGGTTAGGTTGGTTGCTGCCAACGGTCCTTCCTAAACCCTCCACTGCCACTGCCCCGAGAAAGCTCTTGTAGTAGAATTCTGAGGCCTGGGGCTCTCACCCTTTCCTACATAGCAGAAACCGCCAGCAGCTCACCGCCCTCCGCGCCAAGCCCAAAGCACGTGAACGCCTGCTGGGGCGGGCCACTATCGACATTCTCATATCCCCCTCTCTCTCACACACACATAGTTATTCACATGCATATATAGGTCCTGAGTTCGATTCCTGGGGAGGACCCCGACATTGTCGGGAGCGTGAGATTATGGCCAGCTGCTGAGATGTGGAGTTGAGGTCACAGTTGATGGGTCGAGATTCGCACGCTAGATTGGTGGCGCTTGCTGAACCCTCTACCTCTGCGGATGTTCGGGTGAATGCATGAGGAGGGATCCTAGAAGGCAGGATCACCGCCTTGGACTTGCAGTTCGTATGGCGCAGTACAGTGTGGTAATGGTGGATGGTGTGCTGTATGGCGATTAATCGTAGAAATGACAATGTGTTCAAGTGGCCCAGAAGCCTCTGTAACAATTCAATTCACATGCATATAATATACATAAGTAAAGCCATACATGCAGAGCATATTACTTCAGAAAGCCCATAGTTGCTAGGTACTTATGTACATACATGCATACATATACATGCACATCCCTGAGCTATTGCAGGTCGGGATTGAAAAGCGAGAGCATTTTCTTCAGATCACGTCTTTCTTGCCAAGGTTTATTCTTCCAACTCTCTCCTCCTCAACCAGCAGCCGCCGCTGTGCCGTTCACGAAACGCTCTCCCACCATCACCCTACAAAAGCTGCTCTTCCTCCGTCCTCCAAACCCCGTCACCGCCACAGGGCGGCCTGCGGTGCGCGTTAGAAAAAAGTTCTTTCCCCCTTCAGCTCACCCACAGAGGCGCTTGTACACGATACCGGGGATTCCCATTCGTCAAGTCTTGGAATTACGCAGCCGCCGCTCTGTTTTCCGCCAGTGTGGGAAAGTTCAAAGTACACGTACGACATGCATACGTGTGTTTCTAAGGGATCAGGGCTCAGCGGGAAGCGGGTTGGCGACGTGTTCAGGTTTCGTCTGCGTCGGGGCCGGCGGCTGCGATTGATGCTGATTGTGCGTTTGGGGGTGCGGCGGTGAGAGCGCTGCGGGTATTGCTGCTGCTGGCGCCGTAGGCGGCTTCGATTGTTGCTGTTGCTGCTGCTGTTGTTGCTGTTGTTGCTGCTGCTGCTGTTGCTGTTGCTGCTGCTGTTGCTGCTGCTGTTGCTGCTGTTGCTGCTGTTGCTGCTGTTGCTGCTGTTGCTGTTGCTGCTGTTGCTGTTGCTGCTGTTGCTGCTGTTGCTGCTGCTGCTGTTGCTGTTGCTGCTGCATCCGCACCTCGGAAGACTTCCTTTGCTGGGGCTGCAGTTGCATGTGCTTGCTGCTGCTATTGCTGTGAAGCGGGGGTATGGTGGGTTGCCCATCCACGCTACGCCACTGAGGAAGGGGGATGGGAGGGAGCCCCAGTTTATTCGGGGAGACGGGGAAATATCAGGGAAATGAGGGGCGGCCCCGTTTGGGACGTTTAGCAGGCAATTAGCGACGGCAGTGGTCCAAGTTGGGACCTAAAAAAGGCGCCCACTGAACAAGTGAGCTCCCTTAGTGCTACAAGAACAAGCGCTCCGGAAAAAACCACAAAAACGTGTAAAGAAGCACCAATGGGGTAGAGAGGGGACCTTGGGAGAGAGAGGTGAACGCGGAGGAGACTGTGCACGTGAGTACGGAATATACACCATCCCCTCCGGGGGCGCACAACGCAGGACCAATGCTTTGTCTTACGTGGTTGTAGTTGATCAGGAAGCAAGCCATGAGGGGCTGAGTACCCGGGAAGGCGCTGCTCAGAGCGTGAATCAGCGGTAGGGCGACGAAGTCATAGAAGCCGACCTGGAAGCGAAGCGGGGGTGGCCGGAGTTCTTGGGATTTAAGGGTTGGGGATCCTTTCACAGAGGGACACCAGGTATAGGTTAAGGCAAGTGCAGCGGCCTCGCCGCCGCGTGTGTGCGTGCATGCTGTATGTATGATGTGTGAATCAGGGGGGTGTATCTTCGCCCGTGGCAGCTACCCTGCGAAATCCTGCCTTCCCCGGTATTTCGGGGCACCCTCATCCAGTTACCCTAGTCAACTTCTCAGTGGATCGCTCAGGTTTCGCACCCACCACCAGCATCCAACGGAATCTGCCGGGTCGACAGCGGCGCAACTCCATTCCTGGTCGGCTCGCAGGTTAACTTTATCCCAGGTCACCACCGTCCATCAACTAGGGGCGCAATGCCTTCCACCATCGGAAGGACTTTGATCCTAACGGGTATCGATCCCGGGATCTCCCGGGGGCAATGGTCGCGCCTTACCAGAGGTGCCAAACCCTGTATATATGTATGTATGTATGCATGTATGTATGTATGGCAGCAACGGATGGTCGTCGACACCCTCCCCCCACCTGGCTCTTCCCCACGCCCTGCTTGGACCGGTCAAACAGTGGGCTCATGGGCAGACCCAGCTCCCGCTCCCTGTCACCCTGACGGAAAAACTCCTCCTCGAGGTGGGACAGCCACCTGCAGCAGCAAGAGCGGTAGCAGCAGTAAATGGCGGTAGCAGCAACAGCGGTAGCGCCGGCAATGGGGCCAGTTCGGGGAGAGGTATGACGGGAGGGCATCATTCAGCCTAGGTGGTCCATTGGATAGGTGTTACATGGAAAGGAACGGAAAGCCCCTGTACGGAAGCATACAGTACGGAAGTTTGCATGTTCAGAACCTGGACACCCCTGGACCGACAGGGCGACCATGATAATGACAGCGGCCCGTGACGCCGTCCTCCGCTGAATCCACGTGGCGAATTCATATGTCTATTATACCCGTGTACCCCATCCGTTGGATTGTTGGCGACTGCTGAACCGTCTGTCTCTGCGGATGTTCGGGTGAATGGATGAGGAGGGATCCTAGAAGGCAGGATCAACCGCCTTGGACTTGCAGTTCGTATGGCGTAGTACAGTGTGGTAATGGCGGTTGGTGTGCTGTATAAACGTAGAAGTGACAATGTGTTCAAATGGCCCAGAAGCCTCCCACTCTGTAACAATTCAATTCAATATCCAAGCATTTCCATCATTACGCAGCTGAAGATTACTTCCCTTGGGAAAGTTTACCTCTGACATCGTCCCCAGTTCCAATGCCCGCGGCCAGTTTTCATTTTAGTAAGAGATAAACCCACATACGACACGCGCATACGACACCCACATACTAAACGCAGGTACGCGCTATACCCCCGGCACAGCCCGGGTCCTATTCGAGCCACAGCCCCATCGGCCATCCCTAGGGCCTACCTTTTGTGCACCTCAAGCTCCTCTCCTAGGTGCCCCAGATCCGCAGCCTTGATGGCAATCTGCAGTGTGCCGAGGTTGGGGTTCGAGGGGTGGGAAGTTTGCGGATACGTGTTGGAGAGCAGGTGCGATTTTCCCGCATGCTGCATGCGGGCCCACCGCCAAGGCAGTCTGGAGGAAGGGTTCCCGGTTGGGGGTTCGAGGGTGAGGATGTGTATCACAGAAGGTGGCGCTGCTGGTCCCTTCGCAATCGGGGCAGCCCGCGAGGGAAGACGACCATGTCCGAATCCGCGGTTTCTCTTTTCTTCAACCCTCCCTCCCCGTGGAGCTGTCGTACGACCAATTAGCCACCTACCTGCAGCCCCAGCAGCCGCTCCGTGTCGTCCTTGGGTTTCGGAGCCGCATCACTGCCCGGAGAGCGCTCCGGGTCTATCGACAAGCTACGACTGTAGGGAAGGGTTAGTGGGCAGGTGCCGGAACAGACGCAGGGGATTGGAGCTCATTTCGACAGCGGCCTAAACCCATCTACCTAGTTCAGGACCCAGTCAGCTCCCTCTGAACCCCGCGGGCCCGTCCCTCTGGCCACTGACATATTCCCATAAGCATGCACAATCACCTCAACCTCAACACATGCGCCAGATGCACCCCACCTCACATGCGGTACGTGAACCCAGTACGTCTCGTCCCCTTCGATGCGGCTCGGCGCCTCCATTTCCCCTAAACCGGTTTCCATCTCTGGCCATCCGACATACACCCGTTACCTTGAAGAATAACATGGAGACGCTAAGACTCGAATGCTTGGAATGCTTAGACGCCAGTACGGCAACCTTAAGGGAAATGACGGAAGACGTGAAGACCCCCGGCCGGCTGCGGGCTCTTCACTATGGGCACCGCGAACGGACTAACCTGGAGCGGTTGGTGGCGAGCGCTATGCCCCCTCCCCCTCCTCCTCCTGCTCCTCCTGGTCCTGGGGACCCTACCCCAGACGAGCCGGCGACGGTGGTGCTGTGCGCGAAGGGCCCCAGCCGGTGTACGGTATTGAAGTGCGCGAGTACGGCGAAGTGCTGTTTCATATCGGTGGCCAGAACCAGGTCAATGACCTGGGGGTGGTTGCACGGGAGGTGGGAGGAGAGGGGAATGAGAGGGGTGGAGGGAGGAAGGGAGGCAGGGGGATGACGGCAGGGGGAGTTCACTGGGAGGCTGATAGCCAGGGTGTATTTCGAGAAGGCGCACCTGCGGATGCATCTGAATGTATGTGATTCAAAGCCGGGACGCCGTGCTTTTCCCATGCCACCTTTTTCTTGTGGGCTCGAAGCCCAGATGCGGGACCCGCGGGTCGCACATCCACTGGACATACACACGCACATACACGCTATAGTAATCTGCGAGCCGACAGGAGTGGAGTTGTCGTTGCAGATTAACCGGGGTCAAATTCCACTGGACGCTGGTGGTGGATGCCGAACCCGAAAATGGGGAGAAGGATGGGTGAGAAGGATTCAGGCGCCCAAAACATCGGGAAAGGTAGTAGGGACTGACGGATGAGTGGCAACGTGTGAAGCTATATACCCTGGCCCACATCGTCATGCACAAAAACACCTGCGGTGCTTTTAGGGCACTCTTTCCCCCTCCAAACGCACGCACGCACGCACGTGCACACCCATGCAATACACATACACGCATGCACACAGCCACCTGCTTCCTGAAGGCAGTCCGATCCGGTTGCGGCAGGGGGGCTGTCACGTCCAGCTCAGGACGGCGGAGCACAGAGAAGGCAGCCGCCGCATGGTGGTTCTCCAGCGGCGAGCGGTCGTTGTATCGAACTGCCAACGGATCCGATGTGGCTATAAGGAAGTCGTTGGTGACTCCAGGGTGGCCATAATCGTGGATGATCTTTAGAGTAGGAGGGCCAGAGGGTAACAGCATCAGCATGGGGAACAGGCAACTCAACAGGGGGTCGTATGTCGTGCCAAGCATGGCAGACGCCTAACGGGGTCACCCTCTCATCATGGGGAGCTGGGAAATGTTAAGTGGGGGATCTAGTTGCAGCTAAAATCTTTGGGACTGAAAAATGCTTGCAATGCGACGGAAGAGAGAGCCGTGCATGGGGGACAACGTGCCGTGTTCCAGTACACCGACCCACCGACCCACGGGTCTCCGGACCCACCCCTCACCGCTGCAAAGTACGCCGCCAGCAGCCCCAGCTGGTCCAGGTAGTGGACATGCAGCCGGGCTCCGTGGATGATGACGTGCAGGGTTTGGAGCACGTCCGCGGCGTGAGTGGCGTTGTGGTAGGGGTTGTCCGGATAGCCCGCCTCGATGTGGCGAAGCAGCCTGAGAGGAAGAGATAAGGGAGTAGGGAGTAGGGAAAAGATGAGAACAAAAGAGGATGTGCGTGGGAGGACGACATCAGAGGGGGCCGTCAGAGGCGCCGGCCCGATTCCTGGATGGATTGTGTACGGCTGTGTACGGCTGGGAATAGTGGGCGGAATATTGTGGGCAGAATGATGGACGGAATGGTGGGTGGGTAACAGCGAACGCTGTCATGTCCAACAGGAAACGGCGTCTGGCAGATCCGGAAACAAACATGATGTGGCTGTGTTTGCTTAGAGGAGGAGCTGATTGGTTACCTGACCTGAGCTGTCCAGGAGACCGGCGCGCAACTGGCCGGCTGGCTGATTGGGGTCAATGAATGCCCATGGCCGCTGCTGGACTGGGTCTGGCTGATTCACAGGCGGCTAGCTAGTGTTCTAGTGTTCAAATGGGGCATGGGGCATGGGGCATGGGGCATGGCATTTTCCAGGCAAATGGCATTTTCCAGGCAAATGGGGCACACAGCTCTTTACACTGCCGTACACTGTCGTGCCACGCATTACCTTGCCAGCGTGACGGGGTTGATTTTGAACCGCTGGACCAGGCCCGCTCGCTGTATGAGATAGTAGCCCAGAGTGGATAGCGGGTGGCCCCGACTAGCTTCTCGGAGTTTCCACGTGTCGAACTGCCAACAGTCCGCCTGGCCCAGCAGCCGCTCCACCTGAGGCCGCGGATTGCCGGTGGGGTTGGGTTGGGGTGGGTTGGGTTGTAAGAGCCAGCAGGCACCGTCAAATGGGATCAGCGAAGGGCTGTCAGGGTTACGGAGCAACTGACCTGACTTGATCTTATTGGCCGTACTTCCGAGTGAAATCTCTAATGCTCGATGAGGACTTTAGGGTTTAATGGGCCAGGGCCAGGGCCAGGGCCAGGGCCAGGGCCAGGGCCAGGGCCAGGGCCAGGGTCCCACCCCGGTGGTTGTATCCACACAAACTCCGTACCTCCTCAATCATCGTGGACGGTGGGGGCACAGCCAGCCGCCGCGCATTGATCATCTGCAGCAGACCAGGGCCTGTGGCCCATCCTCCTCCACCTCCGCCAGCCCCCAATCCTCCCAGCTGCAGCCCTGAGCTCGCTGCCAAGCCCGCTAGCCGGCTGCTGGGCCGGTCCTCTGGTACCGCCGCGGTCAGCTGCCCCCCGCTGAGGCTGCCAGTGAAGGTCGCGGAGAGACAGAACGGGGAGGGAACCCCGCCGGCGGGTACGCCCGGGCTGTCGGTGGGTCCGCCGCCACGCTTCGACCGATGGCCGGCGCCCAGCGGCGACTTGGGTGGCGGTGTGCTTGACCCGGACCTTCCGGAGCCTTGGTGTAGCAGCTGGGCTGGGCCCGGACTGCCTGACACTGGCAATGCCGGCAGCTGCAGCTGCAGCGGCAACGGGGCGCTACTCGTGTCGATACTGTTGGCATTTGTACTGTTCTTTTTGGTGCTAATGGCGTTGTTATTGTTCATGTTGCTGACGATATTATTGTTGTTGGTGTTTCTGCTGGCAGCCAGAGTGCAGGGGCCCGCGGTTGCGATGCTGGTGGCAGACATATTGGTACCAAGCAAGTTGCCGCTTGCGGCGTTGCTTCCTCCGCCACCGCCGCCGTTGCCACCGCCGCTGCACAACGTTGTGTACGACGCCTCTCCGCCGAGTGACGACAGCAGCTGGTCATCTCCTGCAGCGGTGCCGGTCGGGCTCAGAAGCGGAATCGGTGAGACGCCTGATGTGGCGGCGCCGCAGCCGTTGGCACCAGCACCTGCCGTACAGCCAGATCGTGCAGTCCCCCGGGATGGCGAACGGGGAAACGGAGCGACATTCCCCTCGTGGGAAGTCATCAGGGAAATCCCGTTCATCGAGCTTCGGAAAACTGTCGGGGTGACGGAGGCGGCGTCACGCCTTTGGCGGTGTACGGCATTTCCGCTGCCGCCGCCGCCGCCGCCGCCAAAGCTCGTCATGTTCAAAGAGCGCTGGCTCTGCCCCACTGGCGTCGCGATGGAACTCACGCTCGCCGTCCCTGTTGGCCCCCCGTGCCCCTGACTGAAAACGCCGGGGCTGCCCGTACTTAGCAATCCCGCTGCTGCCGACATCGGCGGCGGTGGCGGCAGCAAACATTCCGTATCCGCCGTCGGCAGCGCAGCATCGGAAGCGGCCTCGTTGATATCGGTGCCCGTGTCCCACCAAACGGTTGGCTGCGGTGTCAAGATAACCGACAGCGCTCCCGCCAGAGTGTCGAAGGCATCCTGTTGCGACTGCGACGCGGGCCTTCCATCGCCGCCACAGTCGGCATCAGCGTCAACGCTTGCGCTGCAGCCGCCACCACCACCACCACCACCACCAGCACCGCCGCCGCCACCACCGCCACTGCCGCCCGCAGCAGCCCCGCCCTGCCGGTTCTGCGTCTCAACGTCTTCCGCCGTTTCGTTGAACATCAACTCGCTCTCCGGCAGGGTACCCAGTTGCCGCATGAGGGCCCGCGTGACTTCCACCTAGTGGTGGGCCGGATGGGGGCCAAGGTGGTTTGGCAATTACATGCGAGCGGGACGGGATATACCGTTGCCTCATATACTCATATTCTCTCGCCCACCCTCCGAGGGTTGGCGGCTGGGGCCCAACCCACCCGCACCAACGCCCCCCTGGGTTCCTAGGCACCCAACCCATCACCTGTTGTTGAGAGGCCGTCACATGTTGCTAAGGGGCCAGATGGGAATCATCGCGCAGCTGAATCGCCCTATTTTTATGGTGTTTGACTGTGTCGGTTGCTCCTGCTCCGAAACTCGGAGGCTGTAGTATCCTGGGTATCACCGGAATCCGGCATCCGCCGATCGGTTCTTTCTGAAAAAGACGTGATACAACAGAGGCCAGGCCCAGTCGCCACGCATATACCGGGATCTCCTTCCCACCCCTTCACACCCGCAAAACTACACACACTCACGTCCAGGTTGGCCCCCTTGATTTGGGCTCTAAGGTTTAACGGCTGGTAGATGTCCAGGTTCCGGAGCACGCTGGTCCTCAGGAGCAGCACATCTCGCAGGTCGGGGCAGCCGCCTTCCAGCAGGGTGCCCAACATTTTAAGCAGCACGTCTGCGGGGGTGTCTGCGCGGGCGGAGTGTGGGGGAGGGTGCGACCAGATTTACCGGATCGGCGCGGTGTGCGGTAGGTGTGGGACGGGAAGTGGTGTGGGACGGGAAGTGGTGTGGGACGGGAAGTGGTGTGGGACGGGAAGTGGTGTGGGACGGGAAGTGGTGTGGGACGGGAAGTGGTGTGGGACGGGAAGTGGTGTGGGACGGGAAGTGGTTGGCAGCTTGGGCAGGGGCGGATCATCCGGGGGGCCAGGACTCCAGGGAGCCATCCGGCAGTGCCACTCAGCAGTCCAGGAAAGAAAGGTGGTGGCTGGGCGCCCTGGCCACTTGCACCGTACTTCATCATCTCACCGGGACGGGGCGCCACGTTCCCCTCACACCTGCCGCGTCCCTCCGCTGGGCCCCACCCCCAACTCCTCAGCCCCACTCCCGGGCCCTCACCAGCCTGGAGGACGCGAGGGCCCATGTCGGCTGCCCCGCCCCCCACCAGCTCCAAGATCATCTGCCGGGGCAACAGAGCTTCTAGAAGGGCCTGGTGCTGCCGCCTGGGGCCCCCGATGAGGAGAGCGGAACAGCCGGTGGTAAGATCGACAGTGGGGGAGGCGGCCAAGGTGCGTTGTGTGGTAGTGCGTGCCAGTTCAAATGCTCGCGACGTGGATACGAGGAGGGATAGCCACATGGTGTGGGGAGGCAAATGAACAACGGAAAAAATAGGTGGATAAGTGGATGCTTAAATGAACGGATGGATGGATGGATGGATTACGCATCTGCACGCATATTTACACCCACACACGCTAGCGAGTTCCTCTGTAGGTTTAGCCATACAGACGTGCACGCACCCCACCCACCTACCCATCTACCCACCGGCTGACGGCCCTTACGCCCGTTCGTCACCTCACCTCGACATCAGCGCCGCGAACAGCAACACGGCAAGTGCTAGCGCCATGAGCACCACCCCAGCCACCACGGGCGCATACCAGTAGGGTCGCCAGGTGCCGCAGGCCGGTGACAGCTGCAGCACCCACTGCAATCGGGGGGGGGGAGGGAAAGAATAAGGTCCTGAATAGAGCATGGGGGGTTGAACATGGGGGGCAAAACATGGGCTCAAGAAATGTCGGTCCTGTTCCATCGAACCACATCTACACATGGCATTTGCTAGGCTGTCCGTGTGGCCGAGGCAAGGAGCGAGGCGCGAGGCTAGCCCCGGAGCTGCCCGGCTTCCACGTCGGGGCATGTGACAGCTCCAGGTGAGGAGAAATACACGAGGGGATGCGACCTACAGTACGGCATGCACGCATGCTGTTTGGCCTACAATGGACTGCCTAGACTGCTGGGTGTGTTCGGGAGTTACGGGGGAGATGCTGGGGTCCAGAAGCCCGGATCTCCTTGCCTTGCCATCCGGCAGTGCAATCTCCGCCTGCTGTGGCTGCACAGGTGGTCTGTCTGCCCCCGCCAGCACACGGAGCTCGGTTGGGGTGCCCCTGTTCAGGAGCCGGTATCGGTAACCCCGGCCCTCCAAGCTGCACAGGCGCCAGGGGACATCGCTGCTGCTGCTACTGCTATGTAAGCCCCCCAGCTGGAACTCCGCAGTGGCCTGAACGGGTTTCGAACAGGGGGTTCGGAGAAGGCGGGTGGATAGGTAGGTGAGTGGGTGATGGGTGAGCGGTTCAGAAAACCCCAGTCTGGTGCTGGGGCTGTCGCTTATGTCGTTCCCGTACAGGTTGTGGACGATACCCCACCTCCCCCAGCCCACGACCCTTCTCCAGACGCTTGACGAGACAGCCCCGTCCTCCCTTATCTTCAAATTCCCGGCTAGATGCATTCCCTTCCCGCGCCCAGTCACGATGTCCACGTCGTCCGTGTTCACGACAAACCACCCACTCCACACTCTCCGCAGCTCACGCCCGCCCACGCGGCCCCTCCACGACATCACATCCCGCCCAAACTCACAAAGCCCCAGAACCTCGACCCATTTTTGGAGTCGTCGCAGGGTGGTCTACACGCTGACGTATTGAGCCGGTCAGGCAGGCTCAAGGTACCGTTGGTACCCTCTTCCGAAGCCGCCTGGGCCGCCGGGTCTTCCAGGCTGGCGCCTACAGAGAATACAAAGATGGGCAGCCACGCCCGCATGCCGGGGCTGCCATCCCGCAGGGCCATAGGGCCCCGCAGGACCAACCCGCGGTCTCCTACGGCCCGTAGGGCATCCTCTCGCCCCGATGGCTCTGTCCACCCCGCCAGAGGAAGAGGGGTGGAGCAGAGCAGGACGAGCAAGGGTGCGAAGCCGTGCAGGGTGAAATGGAGGGAAGGTTAGTAAAGGCCAGCGCTTTGGAAGCCGGATGGGCTGGTGTCTGGTGAGGGCAGAAGGTCGCGCAAAACGCCGGGGCGGAACACCGGCGCGGTGTGGGCAGAACACTGCGGCACACCCAGCCGAGGCAGGGCACGAGAGGTTCCACCTAAGCACTGTCCCGGCGATTGTGCACGTGACCTATTGCGGTAGTCCCGTCACAATCCATCAAGCCAACAAAGAAACATATAATGGATAACCTAACTGACAGAGTTAGTTTTCCAAGGA